CAAATAGTCATTCTCACAAGGTGGCCACTTTAGAACCCATCTCATACACTTAAGGGTAAATAAATAAATTAGCTGTTGGTTTAAGTAAGCCTCTGGGGTCCTGAAATCCAACAGGCAGAGATGCACAGGGAGAACAGACGGACAGACAGAAATTAATGGAGGAAGATTTGAGCCAATTAACTGTGTTCTACAGACCATTGGTACAAAACATTATCAGAGATCACTGTTGTCCAATCTTGGCAACTTCAGGATGGATAACTTCAACTCCCAGAATTCCACAGCAAGCATGGGGTGAGTATGAGGGAGCCCTTCCACCCTTATCTTCAATTGCACTAGCTGTGCTTGCATATCTCACAGGCCAATCAACCACAAAATACTTGTGGGGCAGAGCCAGCATGGGTCAAAGTAGAGAACACAGATTAACACAGTTGGAAGGGACCTTGCAGGTCTTCTAGTCCAACCCCCTGCTCAGGCAGGAGACCCTATAGCATTTTAGACAAAGGATTGTCCAGTCCCTTTTTAAAAGCCTCCAGTGATGGAGCAGCCAAAACTTCTGGAGGTGGGACGTTCCTCTGATTAATTGTTCTGTCAGGAAATTTCTCCTTAATTCCAGGTTGCTTCTCTCCTTGATTAGTTTCCATCCGTTGCTTCTCCTGTCTTCAGGTGCTTTGGAGAATCGCTTGATCCCCTTCTCTCTGTGACAGCCCCTCAAATATTGGAACGCTGCTATCATGTCACCCCTAGTTCTTCTTTTCACTAGACTAGACGTACCCAATTCCTGCAACTGTTCTTCATATGTTTTAGCCTTCAGCCCTCGCAAAGTCTGATGCTTTTCTCCATAGATGTCCAGTCTTTCTCCCGTTTGTTCACCATCCCTAAGGATCAACAGCAGTTTACCCAAGCAGAATCCAATCCCATCTAACCTGGTTTTCTTTTCCAGTTGCACCCTATAATAGGCAACGTAGCCTATTATTATTATTATTATTATTATTATTATTATTATTATTATTATTATTATTAGAGAATTTGAAGGCGGCTTGATATGGTAGCCATCTTCTTGCAGGGAGATTTAGATCCCCTGTGATTAGCTGGCAAGGCAGAGTAATCTTCTTAGGAGATCGCCCCTCCCTCCACTGCCAGTCATCAATTTCCAGAAAGCATCCTGTTTCCAGCTGCAAGACTTAAGAGCTTCCCTCCTCTGCAACTCTCCTTGACTGAGAACTTCACGGGCACCAGCCTCAAGCCTCCGTTTTCATCCAGGAAGCAAAAAAAAAAAAAAAAATGTTGAAATTAATTTTGAGAGTCCATTGTTACCAGGAAAAGCCGGATATGACCTTGCAAAGGACAGAGATAGCGTCGGCTCTATTAGGAACAATTATAGGGGGAAATGGGACTAAACTAAGCAATCCCAAAGGTGATTTTTTTTTTTTCAAAAGGCAACTGGGCTTTGTTTTTCTTGGAAGATGTTTCGCTTCTCATCCAAGAAGCTTCCTCAGTTCTTCCAAGAAGCTTCTTCAGTTCAGCTCCAGAACTGAAGAAGCTTCTCGGATTAAGAAACAAAAACTTCAAGGGGAGAAAAAAAACAACAACACACCAAGCAAGTCCAGTTATCTTTTGAAAAAGCACCTTTGGGACAACTGTAACCTGAATGACTGAGAATCTCCATAGACATTAAACGAAGCAATGTTTATCTTGCTTGCTCTGCAAGATAAGTTTTATACTCTTCCTTTCTTTTAACGCTTTTATTCCGGCCTCTTATGCCACCACCACCCCCCCCCCCGCACTCATTCCATAAATAATGCTCTCCGATTGGCAGAAAGGAAGAAAAAAGAAAGCTGAATGGAACACTTATTCCCAAATGAAAGAAATTGCCTGTAATTTGTGGATTCCCTTTTGCTATTACTGCACAACATTTGCATTTCAATGGAAGCTTTTTTTTTTCCCCCTCCACAATCCGGCTTCACCTTGACCCGACACCATAATCATGTTCTCTCTCTCTCCCTCCCTCCCTCCCTCCCTCTCTCTCTCTCTCTCTCCTTGATGAAAACACAGCTCTGCCGCACAAAATTATGCCACATTCAGCTGAATTCTACCATTGGTTTTTCTTCTGGTCTTGTTAGTCTTCCTCAGAATAAGCACATTTTATTAGTTCCTATTTAAAAGAGAGGATTGGGGAGGGGAAAAGGCAGGGGGGGGGGTTGTTAAAATGGAGAACTTGTTTTCTGCCCCCAGCGAATGATATTGTTACATCTCCAAAGTTTCCTTTCCAAAAAAGGTGGCAGAAATTGGAAAATGCTGAGCAGTGCCAGAAGGTTTTCTGCAACACCTGAAAGATACCATCGTTAAATAATTACTTCTGGATTTGGGCATTTGCATTATGCAAAGGTTTGTTCTAATGAACAAATTCCTGCATGGCTTGTTCTGATGAACGATGGATACGTACTGAAGGCGGCTAAAAAAAAAATGCCTAATTTTGCTCACTGTGCAAACTATGATTCTGTTAATCATGTTGATTAACTGAGTAGATTTGCACATTTGCACATAAGTCTCCCAATCCCTATTTTACAGTTTAGGACAGGGGTGTCCAATCTTGGCAGAATAATAGAGTTGGAAGGGACCTTGGAGGTCTTCTAGTCCAACCCCCTGCTCAAGCAGGAGCCCTTGTACCATTCTGGGCAAATGGCTGTCCAGTCTCTTCTTAAAAACCTCCAGTGTTGGAGCATTCACAGCTTCTGAAGGCAAGTCCTTCCACTGGTTAATTGTTCTCAGTGGCAGATCATTTCTCCTTAGCTCTAGGCTGGTTCTCTCCTTGATTAGTTTCCATCAATTGCTTCTTGTCCTGCCTTTGGAGAATAGGTGGACCCCTCTTCTGAGTCAGCCCCTCAAGTCCTAAAGGGCTGCTATCATGTTACCCCTAGTTATTGTTTTCACTAACTAGCCATACCCAATTCCTGCAACCATTATTTGTATGTTTTAGCCTCCAGTCCCTTAATCATCTTTGTTGCTCTTCTCTGTTCTTCTCTAAGACTTGTGGACTTACTATGTTGGCAAGCTGGCTGGCAATTGCTGGGAGTTGAATTCCACAGCTCAAAGTTGCCAAAGTTGGGCATCCTTGCCTTAGGGGATGTGGTGCTACAATTCCTGAAAAGCAACACGACCAATAAATTAAATTACAGCTTAGCATTGATAGTGTCATTTTCTACAACTTGACTCTAGGGTGATTTTAAAACAAAAAACAAAAAAAACAGAAACTACCATTTTAGTCAGCACTTTGACTCCATTTATGAGCTTAACTGCTCATTATTTGCCATTCCCAAGAGGTAAAAAAGTAGATACACAATTTCTGCCCCATATAGCGCAAGGCATTTTAACAATGGCTCCATGGGCTTTCAATATATCAGGAGGCCGGTTGACAAGCAGCACAAGAGGGAAAAGTAAAACAACACACAAAAATATGGCCAACGTGCACAATGGATTAATCTTGTGGTTTTATGGCAAGAAAAGAACCACCTCAGGGCCTCTCTACCCTTCCCCGAGGCTTATAAATCTTGAGTTTGCAATGTGGTAAGCTAGACTTCTAAATGTTTTTTCCTCCGGTTACAAACAGATAATAAATTATCAGAGGCTTCCATATTAAAAGCTCTGGCACCGATTCTGTTGTTTCACAACCTCAGAAAGACTTCCAGCCCTGACATCTAAGATGGTCAGGAAGTAACGTGGCTGCTCCTTATGAGAGCCAAAACTGGCCTACGTGGATGCTCTGGTTCCTATTAGTGAACAAGTAAACATTTCCTTTTATTTTTTAGCTTACAAAACAATTATCAGATTTATCAATAGGCAGATCAATTCTAAAGCACAGGTAATTCTCAACTTACAACCGTTTGCTTAGTAACTTTTCAAAATTACAACACCATGGGAAAAAGTGACTTAGGACCGTTTTCACACTTCCGACAGCAGCATTCTCAAGATCACGTGATCAAAATTCAGACATTTGGCAACTGATTCGTATTTATGACGGTTGCAGTGTCCCGGGGGGCCACATGATCCCCTTTTGCCATTTTCTGACAAGCAAAGTCTATGGGGGAAGCTGGATCCACTTAACAACCCGTGTTACAAATTTATCAACTGCAGCGACTCAACAGCTGTGGCAAGTAAGGAACGTAAAATAGGATAAAATTCACTTTTAACAACTGCGGTTGTAAGTCAAGATCTACCTGTCTTCGGTTTCCAACAGCCAGGAGTTCTAGATGTTGAAGGAAGGAGTCTTGCTTGATCAGAAAATCTGCCATTCCTGGGAAGACGGGACAATAAATAAATGAACTCTCCCTGCTCAGATCCTTGCCTCTGAGACCATTTTAGGTTATCTCTTCTCCAAACTGGTAGCCCGCAACTGAGTTGGTGTCCCTTTGGGTCATGGCCACAGAATTCTGGGAACTGTAGTCCAAATACATGGTACCAGGTTGGAGATGATCAATTTTACACCATCAGCCCTAATCAACAGTTCTGTTTTGAGGCACCAAATTCTGCAGAGGACAATGAAATCCTCCTCCAATTTGGACACTGCCTCGTCCTTCCCAAATTCTCTGTTTATCACAGTATATAAAACAGTCAAATATCTACACTACGATTAATTGAGCCCACCGAACAATGCAGCACCAAATTCCATGACAAAAATAATTAACAGAAAAATCACCAGTGGCAAAGAGTTAGTTCTCTCCATACATTGTGTATAGCTATAATTGGTTTGGCCCTGGCTTAATGAATAAACTTCAGATTGGTGAATAGCGTCAGAATTCATAATTTTGTAAGCCATTTCACTCTGGCCAAATAACAAGCGCCCCAGACACCTAGAATTATGGTTTGTAAGGCTGAATAAAACCAACCATGACGTATTTAAAAAAAAAAATAACAAGATGTGTCTCAACACAAGACATAAATCTAGTTTTTCATCCATTTCTGTGGTTACGTTTTACACATGGGCGAAACAGAAAACGCCAGCCTGCTGGAATTGGGTTGTTTTATTTAAAACAGAGGAACTCTCGGTTTTTCCTCCCACCTCTCAGAAAACTGCACTAGACATTTAACAGTACTGTATTCTTGAATCAGGTGACAACCAACTGTGAAAGAGATCCAGAATTGATTTTAAAAGTCACTTGTTTTACCGGACAGCCCTCTTCTGTGACAGAATAATCAGTTAACCATGTAGAAATCAAAGATTTAGAGAATTCTCCACCGGGGGAGCCGAGCGTCGAAACATAATGCATTTGGGTTTTGCTATTAAATCAGTGTTGCTCTTTTTCAAGTAAACCAACAACCACCACCACCAAATTTCTCTGGATGAAGTGTTTGGAAAAAAATGTCAGTTTTTCAGAAGGGTCCACACTTACGTCCGTTCCATTTAAAACCTGCCTTTTGGGGCCAAGATAGAAGCTCTGGGGACCTTAACTATTTTAAGATGAAATGCTTTTGTTCTTTTGTACATGGTTAATGTGTGAGTCTCCGGCAACTCAAGAAGTGTTTTCAAAAGCCAGACTGGGATTCTTCAGTCTACTTTCACGACACTGTAAATCTTACTAACAAACCAGAAGCAAGCAAAGAAACCAATTGTTCCTGCAAAACAAGAATAAAATCCTTTTAGAAAGAAAGACATGAGGAGGGTTAAATCTTCAACTGTTCTCCGCCAACACGGACAACAGAGATACGTCATTTGACTCTGGATTCCCCCCCCCCCCCGAAGTGAACACTTGACTAAGAGAAAGCTTCGTTCTTAGCCCAAATGCACAAGGTTATGTAAATACAGACAGCCCTCCACTTACAACAATTCACTTAGTGACCATTCAAAGTTGCAACGGCGCTGAAAAAATGACTTAGGACCATTTTTCACACTTTATGACCATTGCAGCATTCCGATGGTTGCGGGATCAAAATTCAAATGTTGCAAAACGGGGCAAAACTCACTTAACAAATGTCTCGTTCAGCAACATACATTTTGGGGCTCAAGTGTGGTCCTAAGCGAGGACTGCCTGTAGGAGGTACAGTTGGATCAAACTTGGTCACTTTGAGAGGTGTGGACTTCAACTGTGGTCATAAACTGAGGACTACCTGTAGAAGGGATGAATTAACCAGCTTCTCCAGATGTTAGCTATTTAAGGAAGAGAAGAAAACTGCAGCTCGGTTAAGCACCTAATTTTTCCTCTGCAGTCTGGGAAAAGTGATTATTATATAGAACATTAATCAGAGGAAGATGTGCCCCAAGGCATTGCACAATCATCTCAGAAGTTATCCTGGAGATGCAAATAGCAGAGCCCTCCAGGGACTGGTCTCAACAAAGAGAAATCCTCATTTCTAAGGAACATATTTACTAGAAGCTGCCTCTCTAATTGCAGCCAATCTGGAAAGACATCAGTGCGTCTGATCCCGGATTTTTAAGCAATTTACACACTGGATTCCAAGTGGGTTTTGTTTCTTTGAGTGCAAAAACCAAAGAAAGCAATACACAAATCTTGCTTAAATATGGGAGGAACCAGACGGAGCAAACTCCTCTTGCTATATTGTTAGGTTTTGCCAACAGGAGTGGCTTCAGTGTGTCAGGATGGACTCACCTGTGAACAGGAAGAAAATCAAGACCATGATCATAGTGTACCCAAAGTAGAGGATGGTGCTAGCAATGCCAGTAATCTGGAGTTTTGAGAAGAAATAATGAATGGCGTAGATGAAGAGGTAAACGGCGGTGAAGCTGCTGGTTAGGAATGATCGCCACCACCAGTGATAATCCTAGGAATACAACGAGAGAAGCTGAAGAACGAACAGCAAATACGTACGAGGCAGGAAAAAACACCCCTGATGTTAATTAGAATGCAAAAAGTGCACCAACTGTGGCCTGACGCAAAACGAGGGCTCAGAAAAGGAAGCTAATTATTTGTAGACTTTCTTGCACCACCTCAGATACATTGGGAGAATGTCTGCAAAATTTGTCCCCAAAAAACCTAACTCTCTTTTGCTGCCTCTCTTACAGATCTCTGCATATCAGTGGAATTTTGCATCTATTGGTCACGGTGGATATAAGTCACCCAACCTCTGATCAATCGATCCTTCTGATTTCCAAGTTGATCCTTGCACCCCTCCCTAAATCTTTGAATTCTTTTTTTTTTTCCCCTTCTGCAAAAACGGACAGGGAGAGAAGCAATTGTGCTCCACGCTTTTTAATTCCTGCTCTACGCAGTTAGGACTGGTATGTTGGCTCCACACTTTAATAGGGTTGTTTAGCTGGGCATAAAAACCTCAAAAAACATCCTCAGAAAAGCAAGTTTGGGGGGGAGGAGTCCTGCTTTTTATGCTCCATCTGGCTGGCAGATGCATTTTTTTAATGACGGGATGCTGAGAAGGCCAATTGGGCACCAGGACCGGTCACAGGGTCTTGGACTGGCAACAACAAATAGAAAAACATTTTGGTTTTCCTTCCCTTGGCCTTTTACCACCATGTGAAAGTATTTTCCTTTATTGCCACTCTTAAACAGTTGCAGATCCCCAGATGCTTATTATGGGGAAGGGACTCCTGGCGTTGCAGACAATGTGTCACCAGCTTCTCATTCCAGCGAAGGAGCCTCACCCGTGGGCAGCCCAGACCCCCATGAATCTGTCTTATGCAGCTTCATGCAGAAGAAGCAGAAGCCAGCGGAATTGCCAGCCACCGCTGGCCTGCTCTAACCATGCAGAGAGCCACTTTGGTCTGGTGGTTAAGGCACTGGGCTAGAAAGTGGGAGACCACAAGTTCCAGTCCTGCCTCAGCCATGAAAACTGGCTGGGTGACTTTGAGCCAATGACCAGGAGATGGTGAGTTCTAATCCAGCCTTAGGTACAAAAGCCAATTGGGTGACTATGGACCAGTCTTTCTCTCTCTCTTTCTCTCTCTCAGCCCAACCCACTTCAGAGGGTTGTTGTTCTGGGGAAAATAGGAGGAAGGTGTGTGTTGGATAGGTTTGCCACCTTGAGATATTTTCAAAATAACAAAAGGAGGATACCAATTAAGTAAACAAACAGTACACTCATCTGGGTCTCAAACCAATTTCTCTGCTCACCTCAGCACACAGGTGAAAGTAACACAGCAGGACGGTGGCCTCCGAACAGGTAATCAGGAGAATGATGAAGACTAAGAACAAGAAGCCAAACATGTAGTACATCTGGTGAGACCTGAGATGAAAAAGAAAAAGGCACCTGGGTCAGCTGATAACCACATCGATTCTGTTTCTAAGGGGGGGGGGGTGATAGATTTGGAGCACGGAAAAGGGGGAGAAAAAATTCTCACCAAATGCTGTTCAGGATGAAAAAGAGCTGGATGAAGATGCACCCGAAGGGCAGGATGCCGCCCATGACGATGCCCGGCAGAGGCTTGGTGAAAAAGGATTGTTCGGGGATCTGGCGAGGAATCTGGTTCGTTCGCACGGGGTGCTCAATGGGCTAAGGAAAGTAATTCATGCGGTTAATTAGAGCAGGCTTTCCCTCTGCTCTAATGAATTGTCGTGTCTGGCAATGATAATATTCTTAGTGTATGTGCATGTGTGTGTACACGCATGTGTGTGTGGGGGGGTGCAAATGGATGTCTGAGCCATCTAAACGGTGCCACATTAGAAACCCTCAAGGAGGGATGGGCAACTAGGACAACTTTACAACCTGTGGACTTCAACTTCCAGAATTGAGCCAGCGTGGAATTCTGGGAGTTGAAGTCCACAGATTGTACACTCTACAGTTGCCCGCCCCGCCCTAGACAACTTTAACTAAGAAAAAACGAAAAGCAACTCACAGGGAAAATGGGGGGGGGGGAGGAAAAAAAAATACTGATCTGTTCTTAAGAAGTGCAAATAAAACTATTCCAGCCTAGCACAGAAAGAAACTATTCCTAGCAGGGAAGAAAAATATGCCTTGCTTAAAATCCTCCACCCCAGACGTAATCCAAGTCCCTAGTTTTGAAGAGCCATTTGCAAAATCCCTGAATAACCGGCTGGAATTCAAGATCTGATTTCATTGGTACATTTCTCTTCTGCTTTTCCCAGCTGGGGCAGGATGGAGATGGATGCTGCGGCAATACTTCCTCGCCCCAACGTAGGGCTGTATTTTGTAGCCCATGACTATGCAGAAAAACATCCCTCCCCGATTCTCTGGACTCGGATCAGTGGCTGAATTCAGGAAAATAGACGAGAGACTCTCGCAGAATTCAGTGAGAGTTCTCAAAAGACTAAAACTGCATGCTTTATTCCTCACTTACCTTCTCTTTGAACCCAAAATAGGCACCAATGAAGGTCAGTGGGACAGATATTCCAAACCACATGGCCAAAATCGCCACCAGGGTCCCAAATGGAATTGCTGCTGAGGATCCCTTCACCCAGAGGATGAGGTTCATAATGAAGAAGTCGGCAAAGACAATCCTGGAGGAGCAGAAGAAGACACCCCAAAGAAGACCAGGGTTAACCCAACGTGTTGAGGTTTCAGCTCAGGGGCATCTTGGGAGAATCCGGAGAATTCTCAGACACAGAAAAAACAGTCCAGGTACCCACCATGGTGAACACCACAAACCCTACTCCAGCTGCATGTCTATGGAGAGTCTCCGTCATCCAGGTCACGTTGTCCCAACGGTGCTTTTTCCAAAAGGCAACTGGACTTTCTTGGGGGGGGGGTGTTCCTTGAAAACCTTCCGCTTCTCATCCAAGAAGCTTCTTTAGTTCAGTTCTTCAGAAGAACTGAAGAAGCTTTTTGGATGAGAAGTGAAACGTTTTCAAGAAAAAATAAAACGAAGAAAGTCCAGTTGCCTTTTGAAAAAAAAAAAAAGCCCCTTTGGGACTCCTCCAGCTACATACATCCGCTCCACATACAGGCTATAAAGGATGGTTTATGCTATCCAAAAATAATGTTTTAAATAGCCAACCGTTGAATTATCTCCCACCTTTCTGCTTTGGTGACCCATCATTTTAGATATTATGACATTGCCTGGGACTCATTCCACAACTATTTTTATAGCCAAATTGATGGCCTGATGGGCTTCTTCCCCAGCAAAAACTGAGCTGGAGAGGCAGCCAATTCAATTAAGTTACTACTAGTGAGCCAGGTACCACCTATACTGTACCTGTGCATTTGGTTTCTCTTGCCTAAATGGAGAACCTTGCTTTTTTCACCACTAAATTTCATTTTGTTAGATAGCGCCCAGTGTTCAAGTCTGTCAAGATCCTCCTGTATCTTAAGCCTGTCTTCTGGAGGGTTGGCTATTCTTGCCAGCTTGGTGTCGTCTGCAAATCTGATGAGTTTCCCGTCTATCCCTTATTTTAAAAGTACAACTTTCCTACTGAGCAAACTAGCAGGGCAACCGGCTAGGTTTCTACAAAGTTAAACATACTTTTAAAAGAACGAGAACAAATATATAGATGCACAGACAGTAATTCACCCTGCAGTCACTGCAATGGCCACATGCAATCAGCTGAATTTGATAACCATCAATCAACCCCGTTCATAAGCCTTTATGCTTGCTAACTCATGTTCAAGGACAAATTATTTATCAAAAAGGGGTGAGGTTACTAACCCGGGACAGAGAAGAGCCGTCAGCAACACATTGGTCTTCCATTTTTCTCCTCTAAACGCTAAGAAAGAAGAGAAACAGCACCACTTATCATTTCTATATTACTCATCCTTTATAATCTCTGGAAAATTAAAACCAGATTTGATTAGCTTAATGCCAGCCAGGTTTTTAAACCTTGCTGCCACTTATCTCTCTCTGCCATCTCACTGGCAGCTTTTTAAGCCTCTCTGATTTGTAAAGCAAGCTGAAAAGGGAGAACACAACTATTGCAAAGAGGACTAATTTTTTATTTATTTATTTATTGGATCTTCATGGAGTGATTGCAGCCTCTGTCCTCATTAGACCTGAGATGATCACTAGCAGAGACACAAACTGCAGAGCAGGGCTGTCCGACTTTGGCGACTTTAAAACTTGTGGATTTCAACTCCCAGAATTCCCCAGCCAGAAGTCCGTAAGTCTTAAAGTTGCCAAGGTCGGACACCCTGTAGAGGTTTCGCCAAGGAAGTCCAAAGAAGGAAGAATGTGAAATGAATCCATCCCTCACAATTTTCTGCCTCTTCTGCAGCTGTTGCCAAAACACACACACACCATACTTACTTTTATACATACGAGCAGACACGTAGCCGGCTGGGGTCCCCAGCAAAACCCAGAGCACCACCGCGCAGGTCATCAAAGCCCCTCGGTTGGCTGGCGAAAGGAAACCAAGGCAGGCCAGGACTGGAAGGAAGACAAACAAGGAAGTATTGGGAGCAATGAGTTTCCACGGGGTTCAGAAGGAAGAAAGTGTCTGGGATGCTGGGGCTCTTTCCTGCTTCAAGTCAGCCGCACTGATTGGAAAACATTCTTCAGGGTTTCAAGAAGGGCTCTCCTAGCCTGGCTGGGGAATTCTGGGAGTTGAAGTCACAAGCCTTTAAAGTTGCCAAGGTTGGACACCCCTGTCTTAAGAGTCTGCCTTTCCTAAAACTGACTCCAAACAATCTTACCCCCCAAAAGGAGTTTCATTCCAAGCTTTGGAGTAAGGTTGTCCAAACTCTCTCAAGATTCAGCAACCAACTTTGCAGTTTTTTTCTGATTATTATTTATTGGATATTGTCTGATTCTACTATTTGGTTTAATCCTCACAGAGCGGCAGGATGGGCTGGAGGTGGAGTGCTTGCCTCACAATCAGGAGGGCTGAGAGTTCTGATATTAGTGGCAGATATCTCTCTCTCTGGGTGCAAAGAGAAAACGGCTGCTGCGAGCTTCCATGTAGGCATCAGGAAGGGTGTCTGGCTAGTAAACGTTCAGCTCCATTCAGTCGCCCCGACTCCATGCAGATGCAAGGAATTACAGGGTCATTAAAAGGAGAGAAAAAATTGGTTTACTCTAACTGGGCTGGCACACACAGATGGCACCCTCTACTAATCCTTGTCCAACATTTTGCTAGCATTGCAAAAAAAAAACCCCACACCCCTTGTTTTAACCCATCAAGTGACACTTACACAAAGTAATGAACGTCATGATAAAAATCTGAGTCCCTTGGCCTAAGAAGACGGAGAGTAGCATGCCTTTCCGGGGCGGCCTGAACACGTCTCCGTGGACCAGCTTCCACCCAAACTCCTCCTGGGCGTCTTCCTGTAATAACATCTTGATTAGACGAGCCCCACGCAACAGGGAATTAGCACACGCCAGACGTGAAAGTCGCTTTTCCTGCCTGATTATCTTGGGGGGGGGGAGAGGGGTTGCTACTAAAAGGGCCTAATTTCATCAGCATCGTTAATGTGCCGATTTTACAACTCCCAAATGGCAAGCCGAGAAGGGAGGGGGGGATGACAGAAAGTGCAGATTTATTAAAACTCACTTATGTTCGGAACGAGAACCAAGCGTTTAACAGACTTAGTTCAAATGCCGCGCTGTTTGTGGATATTATGCAAACGATTGTGGTAAAAGGTAAGCTATGTAAAACACCAGCATGTAACCTATTTATTTCTGTCTTTTATTATCCAAATCATTTCAAATCTGAAGATGCGCCTGTGTCATATTTTCCTGCTTTCTCCCCACGTTAAAAGCAACAGAATTCTATTCATAGATGGAAAACACCATTTCAAGCCAAAATGCTAAATGCCACCTAGCCCATACAGCTATCTGCGAAGTGACCCTACCTCTACGAGAGGTATAATAGTTTTCTCCCAGCAATGCATCTTGATCCTGATCCAGTTCGATTCTTCCAAATTATTTTTCCTCTCTTCCTACCCTATTCCCCCCAAAATAAGACCTTAACTGGAAAATAAGCCCTAGCATGACTTTTCAGGATGCTTGTAATATAAGCCCTAGCCCAAAAATAAGCCCTAGTTAAGATCATCAGCCAGACGGATGCAGTTAGTACCGTATTTCCCCCAAAATAAGACCTAACCAGAAAATAAGAGCTATTTTGCTCTTTTGGAGCAAAAATTAATAGAAGACCCAATCTTATTTTCGGGGAAATACGGTAGCAGAAATAGGATGGTTCACCAGAGTGTTTTCATAGCAAGTACGTAGTGCTGACATGGACATACATGACACAAGAGAAAGAGGTAACTTCGGAACCTACGTTTTCAAAGTGTCCTACCTGCTTGATCTGCAGATAACAGAATAACAGAATTGGAAGGGACCTTGAAGGTCTTCTAGTCCAACCCCCTGCTCAAGCAGGAGACCCTGTACCATTATAGGCAAATGGCTATCCAATCTCTTCTTTAAAATCTCCCAGTGACACATTCAGATCTTCTTTTATGAGCTGAAGAGAGTACTGGTTATCAAATTCAATCTTCTGTTCAGGGATGAAATCTAAACCTGCTCTTTTGGTAGGATAATGATAACCTCAGAACTAAATTTGAAGAATTTTTTTTTTTTGCCTTGTAGCAATGGTAAGGAATCACGACGGATGTTCCCCAATGTAGGAAATTCAGGAAGTTTCTGACACCGAGGAGGATACAAGGATAGTTAGAGAAATTAAAGTCCTCATACAGTAAGAAAGAAGAGCAAAGAGAAATTTATTCTGTTTTTCCTAGAAATTTGAAGCTAGGCTCCAGTCTAACACTGGAAACGTGGCTGTACTAGGGAGGGAGGAAAGAAATCAAATTGTTAACTACAGCTGAGCTTTTGATTTCTTTCATGTGAAGCCAGGCACTCTTCAATTTAGGGAAGCAGGGTTTCTACAAGCCTACTCATTACCTCCAAATGACAATTGATGGAAAAGGCGACTTTTTTTTTTTTTGCAGACTTTCATTTTAATTAGTTAAGTAAATATGGACTATTGGGTTTCAGTTTTAACAGTTCTTCACTAAATCAGCCGCAGGAACTGTTTTCGCAAGCAGACCACCTGGGGCTTCCTAGCAAATAGTTGAGCAAATGAGAAAGAAAGAAAAGATTAAAAAAAAAAAAAAGAAGGAAGAGATTCACCAAGCAGAATGTCAGCTCTAGAAATACTGTACACATTTTACATCGGGTATGCAGCGGGCTGGTTTGAGTTTAGCAGGCTGTGTGAACCCAACCAGCTGGCTTTAATCATGGTTTAGGGTCAGAGCACAAGCCAGATAGCTGAAAGAGCATGCAAACAACAGTTGTAGCCAGGTCAGATATTCTGTCTTCTCTCAGCTCATTACAAGAAGCCAACCTTTTGATTACTGGAGGTTGCGGTGCCCCCTTCCAATATCCATCGAGGTTCTCAAGCTTCTAATTTCACCCATGTATTTTTGCAAAATTAAAGGTCAATTCTCTTTCATTCTGAGTTACTCACTGAAGAGTCGATCTTGTTGTATCTTGCGATGTCTTTATGAAGCGTCCTTAGGAGAATCATGGCGACCATCCCCGATAAGAAAAGGACGATCACGAGAGAATTCATGATGCTGCGAATTAAAAGGGGAAGAGAGACTTCAAGCCAGGTCCAGGCACTGCGCAGCGTTTAAAGACAGCAAGGAGAACCTCAATGCTCACGATGGACGGGTCATAAAAATATCGGAGCGATTATACAGAGGGTCCCCGACTTACGACAATTGTTCGAAGTTACAACAGCACTGGAAAAAGTTGACTCCAGATGATTCTTGCACAGCATCCCCACCTAGTCATGGGATCAAAATTGGGGTGCTTGGCAACTGGCTTGTATTTAGGACAGTTGCAGCATCCCTGGGTCATGTGATCACAGCTGCAATCTTCCCGGCTGCTTTCTAACGAGCCAAGTCAATGGGGGGGAAGTGGGATTTGCTTAACGACTGCGAGATTCACTTAAGAACGGCAGCGATTCACTTCACCATCGTAGCAGAAAAGGTCTATAAAATTGGCTGCGGCTCACCCAACAACCACCGCCTAGCTTAGCGACGGAAATTCCAATCCCAACCGTGGTCCTAACTAGAAGACTACCTGCAAAACCAAGAGGACAACCACATGATGAAAAAAAACCCAAACCAGGACCACGATATTCAGGGCGACTGAAATTCTTTGGGGAGTCTGATAAACTTGAGATGCCGGGTTTTTGTTTTTGTTTTTTTTGGAGGAATCCGTCGTTTCAAATCCATCAATAGCATTTTTAAGGTTTTTAAGGAATTGGTAGCCCACCTGAGTGAGTTTGTACGTATTTACCTTCAAAGCAGAGTCAAAGCAGGTAAGAAGATTCTATTTCCACCCCCCCCCCCAATTAGCTCTATTTCATCTTCAATAGCGAGAGGACATTCCTAAGCAAGTCACGTGGCAGCATGGATTTTTGTGTGTGTTTGTGTGTGTGTGTGTGTGTGTGTGTGTGTGTTTTTAAAGAATGCCAGTCAACTGTCACATCTCAGAACATCTCGTAAAGAAAGAACAATAAAGGCAAGTATATTTCTTCAAAAGGCGCATTCTTGAGTGAAACTGAACACTCAAGAGCTGTTCCCAAGAGGAACAACTGGGCTGAGGCTCCACAAAAGAAAAACAGGAAAAGTTCCCTGCCTTAAAGAGATATTTTTCATTAGAATTCCTCAAATAAATACAGGCAGCCCTCGGCTTATGGCCCCAATTCAGCCCAACATTTCTGTTGTTAAGTGAGACCTTGGGGGGGTGTTGCCTCATTTTATGACCTTTCTTGCCACAGTTGCTAAGTGAATCGCTGCAGCTGACTTTGCTTGTCAGAAGGTTGCAAAAGGGGACGCTGCAACCATCGTAAGTACAAACCAGTTGCCAAGCGTCTGTATTTTGATCATGTGACCATGGTGATGCTGCAATGGTCGTACGTGTGGAAAACGGCCACTTTTTTCAGGGCTGTTGTAACTTTGAATGGTCGAGGTTGTAAACTGAGGACTGCCTGTATAAAAAACAGGGTGAGCTCCTCCTCATTCCAGTAATAATAATAATAATAATAATAAAGTTGGAAGAGACCTTGGAGGTCATCTAGTCCAACCCCCTGCTCAGGCAGGAAACCCTATACCATTTCAGACAAATGGCTGTCCAGTCTCTTCTTAAAGACTTTCAGTGTTGGAGCATTCACCGTAGGCAGGCATTCATTTCAGAAGTCCACGTACCCTTACCTGAACCACTGGATGTTGGTGTGAGGCATGGATTTCAAGATATAGTCCCACCGGGAAGCCCATTTTATATTGTTGTTCTCCTGCACGGGGGGGGGAGGGGGAGGAAAGAAAAATGGGAGCTGAATCACAGATGTCACTTCCCGAAGGACAAACTTTACAACAACCTTCGTTCTTGCAACTGCAAGGCTTCAAATGTCAGGTCGTCCCTGCTGCGGTAACCCCCGTGGAACAGGGTGCCATTTTTCCACAGCAGGTCAGGACAAACAGGATCTGTGCGCAGATGGTAACAAACCACTTCCCTGACCTCTTAAAATAAACCGTCAACCTTGGCTTGGTGTTGACATACGATGGGCAGTTGAGGGGAGGGGGGAAGCGGTTTAAAGTTTTCGAGAAGTGTTATAATGGCATTTGAGAAGAATTGTCAAAAATAATGGAGGAGAAATGCTCAATTCTTATGCGTGAGGTCACTGGAAGGATTGTGCAATACATAATGCATAATTCAATTATGGGAAGTATATTTAAGAAAATATGAACAATCTTTGTAGAGTATGCCTTTTGGCAATACTGTTTACATTTAGCACAATATTTTAAATACACACACACCAACACATATAATATAATATATAAAAAAAAACTTATTGTGATGTCCAGTGTATGTTATTGGTCCATTAACCATCGAGGAATGAAAATCTGAATCATTAAAATAGATGTGGTTGTACATAGAGAAGTTATACTTACTTCAAATTTCACAGAGTATGTATAGATCACGTCCAGTTTGCTATTAAATTCTGCAGGGATTTCCATAGGGGGACCCTTACAGGATAAATTGTTTATATCTGTATGCTTGTAACTGCAAAGATAAATATATACATATTTCTAGAATGATCTAGAGACACTTCCTTCAAATGTGTTCCAATTTTTAAAAATCAAAAGCTCTACTTAAGATCTAGGACTATTTTGTATAATATATGTATAACATACAGAGGTTTTTAGTAGCTGGGCAGCTTATAATAATCATAAACAGACTGTTAAGCCAAACCACACACTGGGTGCTGAGTTTCAGGATAATGGAAAAATCATAGACTTGCATTTTACACATTATATTCTATTCTAAGTGACCAGTACATTGATCAGCCTTGAGAATCTAATTCTAGGATTTAAAGGAGGAAAATATAGTTCACACAGGCAAGAAACAGATGATTATTTTGCAATATATTCATAAAGAATAATGGTAGTGCAGGAAATGTTGGAAAATACTCAAATAGTCTTATGCCTAAGGGTAGTTAACCATGTAGTAGGACTGTATTACTATTATCCTTCTCATCTTTCCTATCACCTACTCCTATTGGTATCTAATAGGTATCAATTGGTATCTTTGGTTGTATCTTATGATTTGTCACTTTGTTGTTTGCATGCACAGTGAGAGCTTATACACTGGAGACAAATTCCTTGTGTGTCAAATCACACTTGGCCAATAAAGAATATTCTATTTTATATTCTACTTTTGATGAGCTCAGACACCTAGCCATCAAGAGCGCAAGGGTACGCCTTTATAACAGAGTTGGAAGGGACCCTGGAGGTCTTCTAGTCCAATCCCCTTTTCAAGGAAGAGACCCTATACCATTTCTGACAAGCAGCTGTCCAGTCTATTCTTGAAGGCTTCCGGTGATGAAAAAACCACAAATTCTGAAGGCAAATTTCTTTAGGAAACTTTTGGGGTGGAAGTCAAACTTGACAACCAGCTGTATTAAAAACCACAACAACACTCCATCTCCTCTTTCCATCATCAAACATGATTCTACTCAAGCATTTCTGCCCCCCCCCCCAGAAAAGACTGAAGCAATCACAACAGTGAGCATGCCCCCCCTCCCAATTTTCAATCATCTCAGATTAGTCTCTTGCAGTACCTTCAGACTCTGGAGCATTTGGGGGGGGGGTTGGGGGGAAAGTAGTTGATAAAAATGTGAGAACAAAAGCGTCAATGAGACGCTCTCCTCCTCTTCCTCCAGGAAAGGAAGGACAGACGGACAGATCTGCCACCAGGAAAGCCATTCAAAGGACTTGACTGTGCCTACTCCGCCCTCTTGTGGAGCACGCAGTCACACACACAAAGAGTAATTGTGCACTGCCTGACTTTGTTCCTGCAAGGATGGCTCGATAAATTGACTACATAAATAAATCAAGCAACCCACGATCTCTGTATTACCCAAACTTCAAGGGTCACTGGTTAAGGTCAGGAACGCTGATCGGTTTCACTTGCCACCACCCTTAGAGACTTTCAATCAATCAATCAATCAGAAGTGACGCCTGGCCTGCAAAACACACACTCTGGAGGGTTTCCGGTTGGAAGAAAATGGGTCACTGCCAGATTTTTTAAGAAAGTGCCCTTTCTGACGTTTCTTTGCCCCAATACGGAACGATTGATACTATTGTCATTTTAGAAAGTTGAGTGGTTGGCATGCTCTAAACACCCAGCCACTAAGACTTAATTAATCAATCAATCAACCGAGCATAGCCTGGGAGGAAAAAACCAGCCAATGTAAGTCAGTTTCTCATATAACCTCTTCTCTATTTATTACAAGAGAGCCTTCTTGGCTCCTCAGCGCCAGGGATAAAAGACAGGGCAGCCTTTGGACCACACACTAAATAAATAAAAACAATTTCTGCCCACTGCACTCTACCAGATGTGTGGCAGTTCACAACAGAGATGATGATATACAAAATTACTATCTGTTGTTTCTCTTCCCCTTTTTTTGCTTTGCATTTATATTGCCCCTGTGAAATCATTTTCCTTTTCGCTGTCACGTAAGCCGTCAAGATATTCTGGATGCCATCCCATCAAATAAATAATGTAATCAGAACACAAAAAAGTCATAAAATCAAATGCCAATGTAGAACAGAAAGAACCGTCCATCGTTAACCAGTATCATCTTAGTCACCATCAACCTTGTCAAGAATTTTATTTTCCCACAAAACTGACAAAGTTTGCTACTCCTATTCCTTAACAGAGCATTTTGGAGTTTCAGCTTTCCCTGCTTGGAAACAGCTGAGGAACACTGGTAGTTTCTCCCAGGTCTGGTAAATGTTAAACCACTGGAAACTTCTGTGTGGTATTCTAAGGGGTTGGTAGCACTCCTATTAATTATGCCAGAGAACCAAACAGAGTTACCACCACTATTTAGTGCTTCCAAAGTGATAGCTACTACGATTAGCAAGTGAGCAGTTTACCTTTTGGGTTCCAGCTGAGCTGCAACTAGCCTTGCTCCGGGCCAGTTCTCATCTTTTCCACTATGGTAGGTGATTGTAATGTCTACGTGATTGAAGAGATAGAAAGTGTTCTTCTTGTTGAACTGAGCCTGAAAGATATTAAGATGCCATTGTTGTTAGTTGTGAAGTCGTGTCCGACCCAGTGCGACTCCATTAAGATGCCATTAAATACTCCTAAAACTACAGGGGAAGATAGCAACAGGCACAGCCAATGCTGTTGGCCATATCAGATTTATGTTATAAACAAAGGAACTGATCCAGATACACAAAAAAAATTAGCTGATTTACAAACACTAAGGATTACAGAAATTTCCAACCATTTTTCCAGATGGAGCCCATCTAAGGAACAAAGAATTGGATCAACGAAAGATGGACCGAACAGACTGTTTGGGCCTCATATGAGCTTTCAATAGCTCATTTATCCATGTATCTGTATGAATTTACTGTGAAAAAAACTGAATAAAAATCCATGCTCCAATCCACTTTTGAATATTGTATGCCTTCCTTCCCCATGCAATTTGTAAATATGCTTTAAAAGCTGCATTTCAGCATGCACATTTGTTAGGTAAAGAACTGCATCACAATATTGCCAAAATGCCCAGCACTGAATGATTGTTTTCTGAAATGAATTCAACCTAGGACAACCTTTTTCAACTTTGACCTTTTTAAGATGTGAAAACTTCAACTCCCAGATGGGATCTTGGTAAACATCTGGCTAACATACTATACCTCATTGTGGCATCAGCAACAGCATCTTGAAAATCTGCTAGGAGGAATTGCGAACCACGTAAGTTGTCAGTTCAATCACACGATTGGCTGGGGAATTCTGGGAGTTGAAGTCCACAGGCCTTAAAGTTGCCGAGTTTGCAGTCCTGATATAGACTTTCATTGCAATTACTGAATAAATTAGAATTTGCTAGGATTCTAAGCCCAAACCATGCACGAGCCCACTGCACCATTTTTTATTGTTCTTCAAATCAATTTAGGAGAAATATATCCTTGATCACTTACACTCATTATGCAGAAATCTTTTATCCGGCCATCTGATGCAATATAACACCCAATTGGAAATCCAGGATTACAGTATTTAAGACTATCTTCTACATCGTAGCACCAAGTCACAGGCATGTTATCTATAATCCTGAATAAAAAAAATATTCAGATCATTCTATATTTATAATTAGAATGGAGTTTATAAGCTTTTAACATATTCTGCAGAAATTTGTACTTATTTACACTCTGGTGAGAAGATTAAGAGTACTTCTTCCATTATTTTTTCCTTTCTTATCTTTAGAACATGGCTGGACAACACTTAATTCTTCCCTACACAGATCAGTGATTTTTAGGGAACATGTTCTCCTCACCAATGATGCTGATAATTCAACTGCATTCCCTTCTTCAAAAAATCCAGATTATTTTTGTCTTCTGGCTTCTGTGGGTCGTAAGATTTTACGCACGCTTTCTTGCACTCTTCATCTTTTTTAAATGTAAACTGGCATAAAGACAAAAGAGATCTAAATGTTTTGATCCATACCATTAAAATGATTCAGCTGGCACTCATTCAGGATTTTGTTTTTGCAATAACCATTTTGTCCAGCCAGAGGTTAAAAGGGGTCATTTAATATTTCCTTATCTAAAAAATTTCCCAGGATTTTATTTTCTGCTCAGTGCTTCCTTTCTTCCTTTCTCTTCCTCCCCCCCCCCACGCACACACACACACACACACAAATATATATTGCTTAGAAGAGTTAGCAGGCAAGCTTCTTGTCCTCATAAAATCAATGACAAATGAACTAAAAGCTGGAAATCAGAAAGCTGGGAAACTCAAGACCCTATCATTTCCCCTCTGCCACACAAATTTATCAATGAGTTTTTTATTTCCAGCAATAGCAGCCGCTGCCAGCAATATGCCCTTGGGAAACTCACATAGGAGCAATAGTGATTCTGCAATAATTATATCTTCTTTCTAGCCTGCCACTGGAAATCCTTTTCAGCTGACCAATAGTCAGCTCTATTCAGAAAGAAACTGGGCTGCCTACAATTTCTAAATAGTCCTTTATGTTCTCCACAAACACATCCCTTTAACAGCAATTCTGCATCTGTGTCCCCAAATGATTTCCGTGAACTTTTGTCAAGTAGGGACAAGCAGGCAACAGAAGAACCTCACACCCCAAAACAAGCTTCTCCCGAGCATTTGGAAGTCTGTGATCACCTCGTAGGGGGAGGAGGCTATTCTCTCGCCAAACAGAACTTGTCCGAGATTTTCTGAAGGTCTCTCTTCCGTCTGGTCTTTGCAAAAATCAAAACTGTGCAAGGAGAAAGAGAGGTTTTATTCTTAACATGATAATAGCTAGGAACGTGACCCTTTTCTCGCAGTAAAGCATACACTAGAAAAGATGTACTTACGCATCATATTCATATGGTAAAACAGATTCAACTGAGTCCAGCCTGTTTACAAACAACTCAATTTTGGGCTACGATAAAAAGAAACATGGTTTAAATAGTTGGAACACACTAATGCAACACCCTAAATTTTCTTGAATACAAAGATGAACACCGAAGAATTCTAATACTTTTGCTCACCAGTAATTGGGGGGTGGGGTTTGTTGCATTTTGCACAAAATCCAGGTTTCAAAAAAGACTGACATTTTGCAGGTATGTCCCTCTGATTTCTCACGTGCCAACTAATGGGAGGGGGGTGGAAAGCCTTCATGGGGACAACGACCACCCCTCCAAAGACATCAGCCTAATTAAATTAGACTAATTAGACCTAGAATTTCGCCACCCCCACCCGCGCTTCAAGGCTTCCCTGGATGGCCGGGAGAGGCTCGTGTGAACTCAAAAAGACACGTGTTCTGCCTGGAGGAAGCGTGTCCAGTACCCACACAGACCCTTCCTCTGCCTCCCCCTTCTTCCCCACCCAGGCGCCCCTTCTCATGGGACTACAACTCCCAGGGCCCCGGGGTCCGCGCGGAGGGTGCTGGGAGGTGTAGTCCCGGCCCCTCAGGAGAGCGCTCGCGTCCCCCCCCATCCCGCCCGGCGACCCACCAAGCATCCGGCGGGACCTTCCTGCTTGGCGTCCGAGGGCTCGCAGAAACTGACGGGCGCCAAGCCGGGCAGGTAGAAGGCGGTGCCGAGGCCTGCGCGGCCTCCCAGCACCAGCAGCAGCGCCAGAAGAACGGACGGGCGGCTAGGCCGCGGCCTCCCCATCGTGACACTTCCTGGCTCGCGGCAGCGGGGGGCTCTGCGGGTCGGACGGAGGGGCTCCAAGCGCGGCGGCGACGTCACAATCGCCCGGCAGGAGCGGCGGCGGCGGCCTCGCACTGAGGAAACGCGGCCAGGCCTGGGTGGGGCGCTCGCCACAACCTCCCACGTGACCCGGATGCGGCGCCGCCATCTTCGGTCAGGGCAGCTTCAAGGGGCCGTTTAGGCTCGGCGGGTCGGCGCTCGATCTAGAGCGGCGGCGCTGGCGGCGCCATGTTGGCTAAGGGCAGCGTTCTCTGCTTGGTTCTCTGCATCCCACAAACAAAGTCAATGGGAAGCTGGCACGGAAGGACACAAACCATGGTCACATAAAGTCTCATTTAGCAACTGCAGCAAAAAGTTCATAAAATTGCCATCACGTGACGTCTCAGTGGCTGCACAACTAATTTTCTGATCGCAGTTGTTTTAAGTCGAGGATTCCTTGAATGGTACATAGAATTCTAGTCCAAAGAAATGTCGATATATCTATCTACATGGTTGTGTTTGCATAGATGCATGAAGATGCAACACTCTTAAATGACCCATTTGAATGCATTTATTCGCAAACATCCAGATTCTTTAAGCGTGCCTTTAAATTTATAGCAGAGTTGCACGTCTTTTCCTTCCAGAGAACCACAAAGAAGAATGTGGGTGAATCTTGAATAAAAGCATCCCAGGCTGAAATGCAATCAACAAATCGACAGTCTCCAAGGCCTATTTATTTCCTATAATTTTATTCCAACTCTCTGCTCAACCAAGGTATATATATTCATATGCACATTCTTATCTGCGAACAGGCTCGCGCATGTGCAGACACCCCCCCACCCGCCGTTACCCGGGCCCATTTCTTCTGTCTCCCAAACCCTGGCCACGCCTCCTCCCTTTCGCCATGCTTTCATCCGGGCTTCCAAGCCCAGTTCGAACGCGCTGACGTCACCTATATAAAGGCCCTCAGCCCTTTGTTCCTCTTCAGTGCGTCGTTGCAGGCCGGCGGGGACGAGGTAAAGATGCGGGGTAGCGGTTGAGGGCGGCTTACTTTTTTTTAATGCGGCCTTTTTAATATAATATATAGGTATCCTTTTTTTGTATTGTCTCACGCACGCACACCGTTTCCGTGTCGGCGGGAAGCAGACCCCAAGGCCGTTATTTATTTTGCTTTCCCTCCACACCCCCTCAACGGTTTTCACCCTTCCCGCTCTTCCTCAGGGAGTAGCTGAGGCGCCATTTTAAAGCTTTGGAAGTGGGTGAGAGGTGGGTGGTGGAAAGTGGTCTCCCCGCCCTCCCTCATGGTCTCCTCAGGGAGGGTCGCGGGAGCCGCCATTTTGCGGCCGCCTTTAGATGCTCCTCGATGTTTCGCGCGCCCCCGCCCACTTCTTTAAGGCGCGTGCGACGGGGGGAAGGGCGACGGGAGTGCGCATGCCCCGCTCTTTCGGGAGGCTGGTTTTGCCGAAGACGCATGCGCGTTGCGCGCTCCTTTGGCCGGCGCGCATGCGTGATTTGCACGAAAAGGCTCGGGCCTTTTGCTTGCTAACCGAACGTGGGAATCGCCTTTATTTTTTTAAGGGTTGGGTTTTTGTTTTGTTTTTTAATCCTACCAAATACGAAAACTGAATTTCCTGGAAATTTGCCCGGGTTTTTCTACTTGGGAGTTTTATCTTTCTACCTCTCTCTGAACTTGCTGTTCATTTATATTTTGGAATAAAACTCGGGCAGAATGGAATGGCCGATCTGGTTGTGCATTGAGCAGTCTAGATGCTTTTATTAGTTTTTTTTTTTTTGTTAAAACACGAGAGTGCTTCAACGGCTTATTCTTTTTGAACAGGTTTCATTCAATAGAGGTGTCTTCCAGAAATATATGTGAACTGCTAAATTTCACAATACTTTTGTTGCTATTTGGGTTTTGGGGTCTAAATGAATCTGTCTGAATCAGAATAGAACTGGAAGGGACCTTGGAAGTCTTCTACTCCAGCCCCCTGCTCAAGCAGGAGACCCGGCCTATATCATATATCTGGAGGACATTGGTTTGGACAGAATAGTTAGAAATTAATTTTATTTCATTGTATTATGGCAATAGAGTTCTATTTGTAAAAGTTTAGTAAAAGGGACAATTCTGGAATGAGGTTTAAAAAACCGTTGTGAGGAAATGCAGTTTGTTAACACCAGTCCTGGTTCATGTTTAAACTAGAACGATATTATTTTGAGTTTATCATGCCATATTAGTTTTTTATTTAGTAATTGGGCCACTTCAGAATGTGCTCTATAAACATTTTAGCAAAGCATTGACGAAGTAATTAACAAGTAGTGAAAATGGAATCTTATCAAAGAGGTCTTCCATATGCAGGAAATCCCAAAAATCACATTGCAGTTTGATGTGACTATATGATTTATGATTTCTGAAGTTTGGTTGTGTTGTTCTAGATCCCAAAACCTGTCAAAATGGTTGAAGCAGATCGGCCTGGGAAGCTGTTCGTTGGTGGATTGAACATTGAAACTAATGAGAAAGCTCTTGAAGCCGTCTTTGGCAAATATGGCCGTATTGTAGAAGGTAAGGACAAGGCATCTTGGTGGGGTTTTCAGTTCTGCTGTGATGAACTTAGCTTTTTTGATCAGCTGAAGTGATAGAACTTACCTATCCTCTAAGAAGTTCTGAGCAGGCTTCTGTGAATCCTGGGCATACCCCTTTAAGATCAGCAAACAAAATAATGCTTCTGTCTCTCTTAGTTCTCCTTATGAAAGATCGTGAAACCAACAAATCCAGAGGCTTTGCTTTTGTCACATTTGAGAGCCCAGCAGATGCTAAGGATGCAGCAAGAGATATGAATGGAAAGGTAAGAATTAATGTCTGGTTTTTATTGTGGTGAAACAAAGGGGAGTACTGAAATAGTTTCAAACAATTGTGTCTATTGATTTTCCAAGAGATAATTTAAGAAAATCTGACGTCTTTCAACTTGGATAGAGAAGGTTGCTTTCCAGCATCACTTAAAGTGAAAAAGACAGTATACTACGTCCTTTTTCCAGTGGTAACAGTACCATCAGAAATGTCTAAATGTTTGTTGGATGCTTCTCAAAATACAAGAAAAAAATGTCATGTATAACAGGAACAGCCACATGTTTACTTCTAAAATATCAGTATTGCAACTTGAAGTTAAAAAGACAAATGAGTTAAAACACTGTAGTAACATATTTGCAAATCTTACTTAATATTCCCTGGTTTAATGCAAGTACAATGACATAACCTTGTTAACTAAGCAGCAATTAATAAATAGCATTAGCATTCTGAGTGGGATTAGTTGCTGATAATACTCTCAAATGAAAGTCTAGAAATGTAATTAGCCCAAAGGCAGTCATTATTCACAAAGATTGAATTAGATGCCTTTGTTCAGTCTTTAGATGGAAAATCCATTAAAGTTGAACAAGCTACCAAGCCAACCTTTGAAAGTAGTAGACGTGGCCCTCCCCCTCCAAGGAGCAGAGGACCCCCAAGAGGCCTTAGAGGTGGAAGAGGCAGCAGTGGACCCCGGGGGCCTCCTTCAAGAGGCAGTCATTTAGGTATGTTTAAGTTCCTGTGCATTGATAGCATACAAGACTTAGAGAAGTCGAATGGAAAGAAGGAAAATAACTGGACAGAAGGTAAATAATGTGCTGTGAGCAAGAATTATTAACACTTTGAAATGCAGAAAAAAAAGTCACCATCCAGATAGTGATTTGGGATGTCTGTGTGATCTTGTACTTAGGTGAGATTGGTGAATTTAAAGTCTGGCTTGAATGGACTTGTATTTCAAAAGCAAGTCCAGAGCAAATATCTGGAAGGCACCATACTATAAATCCCTGCCTTAATATTTTTTTTAAATCAGAAACAAGGAACATTAGCTATTGTTTGCTCAATGAGCATGTTTCTTGATTTTAAGCAGATGCTGATCAGGCTGTGGGTAGCTCCTGGTCTGGATGGCTGTTTACTATCCCTCACAGCTTAAAAGCCAACTGCCAGGGCACTCCTTTTTGTGAGCTTCCTTGAAAGTATCTGATTGGCATGTAAAACATTGAGTGTCTGGGTTCTCACACGTGCTTTGTGCTTTGAATTTAAAACAGGAATAAAGAGTTCTTGATCATTGAAAGGCTCAACAGTTAAAAGATGGGTGCATGTTACCAGTTTTAGCTGCTTGCTGCTTTTCTGTAACTCATTAATGGCCATAGCATATAAATATAGATTCGTGCATACATCGGTCATATAAGTTGCGCAAGTTTCTCTTTAGGGGCCTTGATCCAGGATTGACTGTCAGGGATGTTATTTGGGACAAAAGCAGTCCTTCTGAGCATGCATGTTCTTAACCTCTTTTCACTTCTGGTGCCTTTCAGCATCATGATGGTCCTTCTGATGCTGTCATATGCTGTCTTCTAGGTTCTTCTAGAGGCCCTCTCCCAATGAAAAGGGGCCCGCCTCCCCGCAGTGGGGGCCCACCATCCAAAAGACCTGCGCCATCTGGACCTGTACGCAGCAGTAGCGGGATGGGTGGTAGAGGTAAGCATTGTGCAAATGCTGCTTTCGTTTGCTCATAAAGTCTTAACTGAAGGGAGCCGTGGCAGTTGCACTTTTAGTTCTTAATACTGCTTGTCAGTGTACTTTGCCCTCCAGGCATTGGATACATCACAACATAGCAAATCTGTATAAAATACTTTATTGGGAATATAACACCTCCCGTGAGCTATGGGTCAACTCTGCTCTTCTAGGCTATGCAAGATGCTGCCGCCATGTAAATACACCTTCAACACTCAATTCAAATTAAAATCTTTATAAGTAACATAACCTTAGCCTTCTCCCAAACATTCTTGCAGTAATTGCAATGAGGTTGTGCCTATGCATGGTTCTTCCTATTGCTATTGAAGATTTGTATAATAATGCATAGACTTTTGCCTCCATTAAAAAAAAACAGTATAACAGTTCTCCTACTCAAAATGGGGACAAATGCTTTCTGATTGCCTTGTTTTCAAAACACTCCCATTTATTTGTTTTTTTTTTTTTTTATTTTAGCACCCCTGTCACGTGGCAGAGACAGCTATGGGGGGCCTCCACGAAGAGACCCCTTGCCATCACGAAGAGATGTCTACTTATCCCCCAGAGATGATGG